AGGGAATTATGTGCGTCGACACAGTTGATAAGAAGGAGAATGAAAAAGTGGGTCAGTTGCCAGTCTGTGGAAATGAAAAGGCGTGTGAGAGAGGGAGGGGGGACTTACGCGTTGCCCAGACTGTCCTCGCTCTCACCGTCCTCGTCGGCATCATCATCGTTGTGATTGCCAGACAGCACCCAACTCCTGTAGGTCTCAATCAGTTCTTGCAGGAAGGCTGTCTTCCGTGGTTTCTTCACGAAGGGATGCTTTAGCAGGTCCTGTGCCGAAGAACGCTGCGCGCAAAAGAGGTGGGGACAAATAGACAGCATTGAGCATCATCATCATCACAGTCGTCGCCATCATCGAGATCATTAACTCCATCACTGCTGCCAGCACCAAAGACAGATCGAGCGTCGCAAGCGACCCAACAGCGACTTACCCCGCACTTACCACACTCTCTCCACATACCAATGGCAAAAACCAGGTAAGGACGACCGGAGGTAGGCATAGGCGCGTGGATGACGAAATTAAACAACCCGTCTACGCGTGCCACGTCTGCGACCTGGTTGCTGACTCGCGAACACCGCCCTACAATGGGGGCAGCTCCGATCTCACAGCTGTGAATGCTACAGAGGTTAAGCTAGTAACCCATTTCAGTCTGGCCCTCGGTTCTGAAAAGGACACAGTTACCCCGATAATGGGATGTGGTAGGCTCAAGCGCGTCAGAGGAATGCGCTAATGCGCCGTCGGTCTCACACACTCCCTCTTCTCTTGCATGCACCTGTAAAGTCCCCAAGCCTTCCAGCTAAATGGTTACGAGGTTGGGGACCGCCATCATCACCACCACCGTCATCATCATTGTGATCATCATCACCGTCCTCGTCGGGATCACCCCAAGCACCACCATCAGCCCCCTCGGTACCGTCAACCACAACAATAGCATCAGCATCATCAACTGCAGGCATGGAGTTGGGTGACGGGGAGCTACTTCGTCCACACTTTGCTGCATGCAATCTAGGGGGAAAAAGCGGATTTCGATGAGACCGTCACCTCCCTTTATAAATTGGGTTTGGCCGCACAGACTGAGGGTGAGGTAAGACGTGGTATAAGTAATAAAAGGTTTCTGGCGCGACGCTGTTCGCGAGCGCCAAAATCGACTGGCAGGGGGAGAGGTTGCGTTTGCCTCGGGCGTCAGATGGATGTTGTGTGCAAAACTGTGCGAATCGGTCGCCCTTCCTCTCTCTCCCTCTGTCAATCATTTGGTTCCTCACGCAAAACTAGATCAAAACCGGTGGTGGTGGCACCGGCGGTGGCGGTGAAGGGGAGGGGGAGGAGGAGGGGAGGGAGGGAGGAGAGACTGAGTTAAGAGACGAATGTGGAGGGATAATGAATAAGGAAGGGGACGACGAGATAGTGGTGGACGCC